CAGCGTGTGTGTACTTGTTTGGCTGAATACAATACAATTTGTGTTTGCATAGTTGTTGTTTTGTTGAAATCTAGTAAAACTGGTCTTTTGGGGCAAGTTTTTGGAAGCAAATTACCGACAAAAGGACAGTGTTTGAAGCTCTTTATGTGCAGAACAATTACTAAACCCATCGGTGCATCAGAACATTTTTTGTTACGAAATCGACTCTTCTTTCTCGCGATTAGGCGCTTTCACACTGCTGTACTTTCCCCACAAAGGTTCATGAGAACTTAGTTCATGAGAACTCTTTAGTTCTCATGAACTAAGTACAGATCGCGTTCACACCGGAATAAGTCCCTGGGGGAGGATTAGGCAAATGAAGCCGCTGACGTCACTTCTTCTTCTTCTGCTTTGGGTTTACTGGCAGGCCGCAAACAACTTCAGGGCGTATACTGCCACCCGAAGTCCCCGGCCGGAAGTCCCCGGAGTTGGGGACTGGCTTCAGTAGAAGCTGCTGGGACTCCCAGCAGCTTCTACTGAAACCTTCCGAGTAAATCGCCAGAACGCCGACACCTCCTCATCTCCACCGCTCCCATGTTTTCTTTTGTGTTGCCATAAATTAGTCTCTCTGCGTTTGTGCGCTGGGCTAATGCTAATGCTAATAATGCTAATGCGAGGATAATAAAATGGCGGCTTCACAACACTTTTTTTGAGTTTTACGGGGCGTGGTTTGCAATCCGCCCAGCCAATCAGACATAGGAACCTTTTTCTCCCTTGAAAGACGGAAAAGGGTAAAAAGGTTCTCATGAACAAATTTTTGTTCCGGCTCTTTTTGGTGTGAACGCAACATTTCGGAACTATATCGGAACTAAAGTGGGAAAAGTACTGCGGTGTGAACGCGCCTAATGTGTTGTAAATCAAATCTGAAAGGTGATTTAAGTCCCAGTTTTAAGGGGAAACAAACCTCGGATAAAAGTGGTTTTTCGTTTAGTAATCTTGGTGATTTTACGGATGAACGGTTTTTGTCATTGGAGGTCTCAAACTTAAAGGTCCCCTATTATACTGTTTTTCATCAATATATTATAGGTCTCAGATATATACAGAACCTGTCTCTGATTGGCTGAAACACCAAACAGATCATTGCAGCATCCCATAATCCCCTCTGTTTCAGCCCTGTTTCAAAAGTGCTGTTTCTCTGTCTGTTAATTTAGATGAAAATAAGGAGCCCCTCCCCACGCCCCTCTGAGAGATATTTGGTTAAAAAGAACACAATGGTGCTCTAGGAGGAGATTCAGGTGATAAGGTGGGGGGGGGGGGGGGGGGGGGGGGGTTACCTTGGTTGCTGATTGGCTAATGGTTACACAAGACAAAAAACTCATCGTGATATCATAAAGTCTGACCAGCTCATTTTCAGTAGTTCCCTTGTAGCCTTTGTTATCTTTTTAATTCTGGAGATTGAATTTATGTTTAAAAAAAATCACTAAAAGTGCATGGTGTTAATATGTTGAGATTATCCTGCTGTACAAAACACAGTGTAGTGTAAAACGATCTGAAAAATCCCATTGCTTTTTGTGGAGGGAACCCTTGCAATGCTTACTTCCGGGTCGGCGTACAAAGATATGTCATGTCTGCACCGATCTATAGACGTCTCTTAGTGCACAGCATGCACCGGGATTTATCCCATTAGTATCAACAAGGATTTAGAGTTTGTTAAGTTGTTGCAGAAGCAGTTTGCACTTCCTGTTGGAGTCACAGAGGATGTGTACAGATAAAAAGATCCTGCGTGAAAACATGTATAAATAAATGCAGCTCCGTTCTGGCAGCAGTGTCGATGAGATCGTAGATTATTAGGCTGCTGCTCTGCTAATTGGTGTGTGTGTGTGTGTGTGTGTGTGTGTGTGTGTGTGTGTGTGTGTGTGTGTGTGTGTGTGTGTGTGTGTGTGTGTGTGTGTGTGTGTGTGTGTGTGTGTGTGTGTGTGTGTGTGTGTGTTGTAATGTTGGCAGCGAACACTGTGTACAGACAGGCAGGATCACTGCATCTGTTTACAGCGACCTGCGGATTAAATCAGACCTCACACTTCAAATAGAGACTAATCCAACACACACACTCTCACACACACACACACACTTTCTCTGAGTCCAGCGGGAACATTAAAGTCGGCGACATAATCCATCGAGTTCAAATGGAAACAGTTAGAGTTGTAATCATTGAGAGGGTGTGTGTGTGTGTGTAACATCCTAGCAGCAACACACACACACACAAACACACACACACACAGTCTCTTGTTTTCGTGCCTTAGTGGATTTTTTATTTGTGTCATAGTGGTGGAAAGGAACTAAGTACTATTTACAGTACATTAAGTACTGTTTTTAAGTACAAATTGAGGTACATTTGAAGCTACTTTATACATCTCACAGACAAACAATGCACTTTTTACTGCACAACATTTATCTGAGAGCTTTGGTTTCTTTACAGTTTCAGGTTATTAAAAAAACAAACATATTAAACTGAAAACAATGATGTATTATAAATGAACACATGATGCTGGTGAGGTGCAGTGACTCTGCCTCAACAGCAGGGCGGCGCCAGAGATCTGAACTTGAACTCTTCTGAGTTTGATGTTGATGCTGCTTGACAATCACACACACACACACACACACACACACACACACACACACACACACACACACACACACACACACACACACACACACACAGCACTCTCTCTATACATTGTTAATGGAGTGCAGCACTGTGAGCGTGTGTGTGCAGTGAAATGTAAACAAGGCATTGCATATAAATTCAATTTAATATAAAAAATGGAAAATAAATAAACTGTAAATATAAAACGAATATATATTCACCTCTTGAGTTTTTCTCTATACATCAAATATACAGAATAGGTTAGTATACAATAAAATACACCAATCTACAACTAACAACATATAAACATAGTATAATGTATACTGTATGTACACAATCGGATACTTTGTATTCAATATTTGTTGTATTTCTGCCAGAAGCCAAAACATGACATTTAAAATCAAGTGGAAGTCAATAACAGTTGATTCAGATGGAACAAGGGAGTGTGTGTGTGTGTGTGTGTGTGTGTGTGTGTGTGTGTGTGTGTGTGTGTGTGTGTGTGTGTGTGTGTGTGTGTGTGTGTGTGTGTGTGTGTGTGTGTGTGTGTGTGTGTGTGTGTGTGTGTGTGTGTGTGTGTGTGTGTGTGTGTGTGTGTGTGTGTGTGTGTGTGTGTGTGTGTGTGTGTGTGTCGCCATACGTCTGTTGCATTAACATTAGTGGAAATATCGACTGTGTGTGTTGAGGGGGTTAGATGGTTGGTTGGTTAGCAGAAACACTCAAAGGGCAGCAGGGTGAGCCGTGTTTCCATACAAGAGATAACTGCCAGGGGGCGAGAGGGGGATGCTGTGTGTGTGTGTGTGTGTGTGTATAAGGGCATGGAGAGAAGAGGTAAACAAGGCCCAGAGGTCAGAAAAACGAGCATTTGACCTGAATTTCGCTGATTTGAAGGTCAGGATGCCTGTTTGGGAAGAGGCGAAACGATACACATTTCCTAAAGGTTGAAGCATTTTCTAACCTGGGAACTGAGAGAGGTTACTATGATCTTTATTATGTTATAAATAAATATATCCACACAGGGTGGAGGGGAAAAGCTCCTAAAGGCTACAACCTACCATAACGTTTCATTACAATCAGGTCTGTAGTTTTTCCATTATCAATTACAGGTACAGAATGTCAGACACCAGTTAGTTTGGTCCTTCCTGGTTACCATCCTGTTTCTGTTTCCTGAAAGGCACGGTTCATTAATTGTCCTGCTGAACAAGAAACTCTTTACCAAAACGTTATTATTCTCACTGGTAATGTTTTCATCATAATAATTATTAACGAGGATAAGCCGACACATCTCAAAGGTCAAATAAAAACCTCCACCTGCCTGTAGATCTGTGATTGGCCCAAGAGAGGGAGCCAAGAGTAAGAGAAAAGAGACGTTTACCCCCCAAAGTCCCCCCCTTCTCTCACACACACACACACACACACAAACACACACACACACACACACACACACACACACACACACACACACACACACGCACAGACACACAGGAGCTCCCCGTCACTCTTGACTAACCACATTTGAGGCTCATGCAGAGCGACAGGGGGTCTCCGGGTCAGTCTCGGAGTCTCAGGACCTCGCTGCCCGCCAAACTGTCTCCCTCTGTCCACACACACACACACACACACACACACACACACACACACACACACACACACACATATGATTTTCTGAAATGTAAATCACCGGTTATATCGTATGTTATTATATTAGAAAAAATACAAATAATGATACAAAAATATATAATCCCCTTTTTAAGTTGGTTGAATACACATTTATTCAGGTTGATTTAAATATGACCTTTTATTTAAATACAGTTATTAATTGATTGTTTTAAGATATCTTGGAAATCAAGTATTCCTGCTCCCCAGAGGATGAACCCTTTTTATTGAACCCGTTAGATTAAGAGATTATTTCTAGTTCATTGTATCTTATTTAATTATGAATTACTTATATTTAAAACATATCATTTTTATATATTGTATTCCTCATTTTGTATTCATTTAAAAGTAACAACTGTCACAAAAAACAAATTTCCCCATGGGGTAATTTAACTATTTCTGATGAATAATTAGTTTAAATATTGTATTAATCATATAGTGGTTGATATCACAGTGATGGCTGCAGCCTGGGAGAAGCAAACATATCAAGAGTTTCTCTGCTTTATAGAACTGTGCAGAAATCTGGCTGACAGTCATTAAGACATTCCTCTCCACGCTGAGACATGGGCCTCTTTGTGTGTGTGTGTGTGTGTGTGGGTGGGTGTGTGTGTGTGTGTGTGTGTGTGTCTGTCTGTCTGTCACCCTGGTGTCTGTGTTTGGACTTCCTCGCTGTGTGTCTTCAGTCTGGAAGGTGGAGCAGCAGCAGCAGCATGGACGAGGAAATGTGGCTCGAATCATCGAATCCTGAGACGAACCAAGCCATAGAACTCACCGGGAGCTGCTCTCTGATTGGCTGCCAGACTGGAAGTGAAATACACATCACGACCACAGGATGAGGAGGCAGATTTAACGCTGAGGTAAGACACATGCATGTTCACACTCCACAATAACCCCAAGCAGGCTCCACTCAGTGTGCCAACTAAGAAACATATTGATTTGTGGGTGTGCTGTTGATGTACACTATTGTCCCACAATGCATTGCAACAGAACTCTTAAGTGGTAGCCTACTTGTCATGTAGAAAAGAGTTGTGTTGTGTGATTGTTTTGGGCGACCCACCAGTGAGGTGTTTAAGACTGGAGTTTGTAGTAGTGTGTGTGTGTGTGTGTACTTGTGTATACGTGTGTGTGTCCATCAGCCATGCGTGAGTGTGTGATTTGCATGGTTCCTGAAATAGTTGTACTATAATAAGTTCACGCTGACAGACAAACATTAGGAAATGGATTTGTGGTGGAAAGTTTGCAGTAATACATCTTAAAGCAGCGAGAAAAAGACATGTGGACACAAAGCATGCAACAATTTACGAACAGAGGCGGAGTGAGTCACACATCTAGTCCAATAACAACCTTGAAAAATACTCAAGTTTTGTACAGTATCAACATGTAAACAGACACAGCAGTCAGTCTGTGGTGAGTTAGCTTCATGGTTGAATCAAATTTGCTTTCATGCAACTACCAATAATTTCACTTATCAATTAATATCCGAATAACCAGATCTTCTCCAACAATCGACAATTTGTTCAGTCTATAAAATGTAATAAAAACAAGGCACAACATGGCTGTTACATGTTGCCAAACCTAATCAAATATTTCTCAAACTAGAAGTCACAAACCCAGAAATATTCAGTTCAAATGACACCGTGAAAAAGCTGCATTTTAGAAGCTAAAGCCAGCATTTCTGTTAGTTTTTGAGGCGTTGTTTTTCACTTTAAATATAATAATGTAATAATTGTTTCTTAGACTGACTTATGTACTGATTTTACTTGTTTGGGTATAGTTTATTTACCAGTTGTTTGTGAGTTGATTGTTTGATAATCTGTCATCGTTGTGACCGTTAGAGCTCAATATAAATTGTGTGTGTGTGTGTGTGTGTGTGTGTGTGTGTGTGTGTGTGTGTGTGTGTGTGTGTGTGTGTGTGTGTGTGTGTGTGTGTGTGTGTGTGTGTGTGTGTGTGTGTGTGTGTGTGTGTGTGTGTGTGTGTGTGTGTGTGTGTGTGTGTGTGTGTGTGTGTGTGTGTGTGTGTGTGTGTGTGTGTGTGTAAGCTTCAGCGTGGGCTCCATCAGAGGGCAGTAGAGTTCAGAAGTTGTTCTGCGTGTTTTGTGCAAAAAGTGCCGACCCTAGCGTTCTGCCCGCTGTGTGTTAGAGCTCTCATCGTTGTTGCATACGTGTTGATTTGACTCAAAGTATCTCTCAGTGTTGACGGGATTATATCACAGTTAATAACACAACCAATACATATATTTTTTTAAAGCCCCCAAAGCCACAACAGATCACAGAAACAGTGAAAATCCAACTCGAGGTCAAAAAACATTCTACAGTTGTAACGAGATTACAGAAACTCATCGAGCATATTTTTGTCTTCTTTTATTATTTTAGCCTTAAACCAAGAGGTGAACAGATAACAAGACAAACACACACACACACACACACACACACACACACACACACACACACACACACACACACACACACACACACACACACACACACACACACACACACCTGCTGACCTCGCTGTATTGGAGGATGTTTGTGTTCCTGGATTACATCTGTAAAGTCAGGATTAACCTGCACATTAAACACCCTGCAGACACAAATGACAGCCTAAAGGCCCGTCATTTCCCACAATCCTTTGCTGTTTCCTGCTGGAGATGATTTCGCTCATCTGTTTGTGTATTTCTTTATTTGATTTTCATATTCAGACAGTGCAGTATCAGCAGGTCAGCACTGCACAGTGTTAATAAGTACAATTCAGAGGTACTAATGTTACTTCTCCTACAGTATATTATAGAGGAAAATATATTACTTTTTAGAGCTACAGTTACTTTGATTTGACATACATTACATAATATCATGGCTTTAGACTTGAAGCAATCAAACATGCATTAAAAAGGATGATTAACTTGTCCCAATACAAAAATCAGTCAGTCAAAGGTTGATCAGTTAAATGCTGTTTAAACTTTACTCATCAGTTCAGCTCATAAGTGCACAAATTCCTGTTCGTGGAATTCCTCTTGTGCTCACAATATCCTCATAAATATACAATATAATTCATAACTTTTGTTGCTTTTGAATACTCCTACTTTTGATACTTCAGGTACATTGGTTCATAATCTTTTTGTGTAGGACTTTTACTTCTAAGTGAGTATTTTAACATTGTTGTATTAATGCTTTTATTTTAGTAAACGACCTGAATAACTCTAGAGCACATGTGTCAAACTCAAGGCCCGGGGGCCAAATCAGGCCCTTGGTGGATTTAATTTCGGCCCGCAGGATAATTTCTAATTACTATTAGATCTGGCCCGCCGGTATATTGCACGCACACCTTCACTCCATCCTGAGGGTCTCCTCCGCTCAGAGCCTGACCCCAAACATTGATGAACTTGCACCCAAGATGAGATGCCAAGTATCTGGCTTGAACTAGCATCACAGAGCAGCACACTGAGTTTACATGGATGTTTCCTTCTGCACTTTTTCTCTCACGACAACAGGGCATGTTTGGTTTTTCTTTGAGGGAAATGTTTTTGAAGCTGTTGTTGGTCTGTGGAGAAATGTAATCATAAGAAATGACTCGGGAAAAGCAGCAGATAGAGCCATAAGAAATGAATGCAACTGATTATTTAATGTTTAATGTTGTTTTTATAGGCAATAATTTAAGCTTTGGTAGTTCCAGGTTTAATATGTGCAATAACTTCATTTCAATAAGTTCTGCAATAAACATTGAACCAGTCCGGCCCTCAACTAGTACCCATTTTTTAATTTTGGCCCACTGTGTGTTTGAGTTTGACACCCCATCACTAGAGTAAAGGTAGCAATACAAAGATGTATATTTAAAAGATGAACTACTCTGTTACATGAAATATGAATCAAGGACGGTACAGGAGAAATTAACCATATTTCAATTGTAAATAATAATCTATATTTTTTATAGGGAGTATACAATTATATATTTTTCCTCCGAATAGTGGAATACCTTCCCCCCCAATGTGTATTTGTATAGTAATTACTCACCTGGTGTTAACCTGTATTCTTGAAGAAGACATCGTTTTTCTCTCAATCCTCCACACATCCAACAGCAATATATATATATACACTTTATAAACTGTCACACAGCTCGTTCAGTTAATAATCCAAATCTCTTTTATCCAGTTGTATGCTCACTACTTGCAGGGTGTCCGCGGGGTCTTAAAAAGTATTACAAGTTGATAAATCAATTCAGCGAAAATGAAGGCTATTAAAAAGTATTAAAGGGCATTTTCCAAGGTATTACATTTTGTAGCTTGTTTCCAATAAGTATATAAATTGTCCAAAGAGGTTGTATTCTACAGTCTGCCTGAATGTAATCATTGCGTAGGTGTGTAGTGTGATTCTGTGTAGTTTATTTATGGCTTCCCGTTGGATTTGACGTCATCTGAACAGGACATCGCACGCTCACTGCTTGATAGCGCGCGAAGGTCCGTTTACGCCGGTTGTTAAACAACATCGTTATGGGGAAATGCAAGTTTGCGTCCAAATGGTTGGAAGATAAGGAGGAAGGACAATCAATACTGTATATAGTAAATGTGAGGTAAAGTGTGTCGCCAATGTAACCGGTTAAAACTCAAAGTGGCGATGAGGTCTTAAAATGTATGGAAAGGGTCTTAAAAAAGGTCTTAAAAGGGATTACATTTGACTTCAGGATTCCTGCATATACCCTGTACTTCACAAACACAGGACTTGTACCATAAAATGCAGTATTTAAAACACTTAGTCTTCAATAGTCCCCCACTATTCATCATATTCCTTTAAGTACACTAACCTGAAAAAGTACCAAACCAAAGAATGGAGGAAAAATCCGATGAAACGAACATTTCTGCGTATTTAAACAGTGATCAGAATAAAATAATGTCTACTCCTTTGAGTCTCCCAGCTTGAAACTGAACCACAGAAGACAGTGGCTGCACAGTTTCCCTGTAAAACACATTAAAACACTTCCTTCTGGGTCCCAAACTTCAAACCTGAGATGAACAGGTTAATTCTCTGTTGTACATGCAGGGGGCGACATGAGGACTGCTACACACACTCATGCACGGTGTGTGTGTGTATTTGAGTTATATCTAGTTAACTACCTCAAAATTAAACTGCACTTAAAAGGTTATTTCAACATCAACACGGCCTTAAAGGGAAAACAAGTCAACAAAACAAACATCATAATTTAAATAGAAAAATAAAATAGAAGCAGTGGTGCACAGTTTATCACTTTATTAAAACTATTAAAACAGATTCATCAAAAACATGATGATGTCACAGTGTCCCCCCCCACTGAGTTTGATTGACAGGTCGTCTACACAGGAAGTAAACACACACACACACACACACACACACACACACACACACACACACACACACACACACACACACACACACACACACACACACACACACACACACACACACCATTTTCCACTCTAACCAAAACATTTTCCTAGATTGAGCATCATCAAAATACCTCTATTTGTTATGAGACACATTTAATGACAGCTGTTGGTTTTAAGATTGGTTGATAATCGTGATTTCTTTATTTCTTTAAGTCACTAGCATTTTGGTTTCGTAAAAGTGAATAGAAATGAGAAAAAGGAACCACTTTATTTGCTGTAAAGCCACTTCAATGAAAATACTCACAAATGTGTTGGTTTAACGCTGTAAGGTTTTTCCTTCACGAGCTAACATTTACTACCCTAAATCATTTGAATTATGATGTTTACATTTAAGCGAAATGGCCACCCGTCCTACCTGCAGTGCTATTTGAGAGTCAGTCACCGACTCTAAACGTCTGTTGGTGATTACACACAGATTACGTTTGTTATTTATAATAGTTTAC